CACTTTTCCATTATTCTAAAGCAGTGAACAACTATGGATTATCTGACAGTTCAAGGAAATTAGTTAAAGAATAAGACCAAGATAAACATGATAAAATTCCCCAGAGAACAAAAGACAATTTAAGCAATGGAAAAGAACTTTTAAATATTCTGGAGCCACCCCATGGTTGAGTGGTTAAGTTCGCACACAGCTTCGGCGGCCCAGGGTTTCACCAGTTCAGCTCCTGGGTGCGGACCCAGCCCTGCTCATCAAGCCATGCTGAGGCAGCATCCCACACAGCAGAACTAGAAGGACCCACAACTAGAATATACAACTATGTACTGGGGAGCTTTGGAGAGAAGAAGAAGGAAAAAAGGGAGATTGGCAACAGATGTTGGCTCAGGGCCAATCTTTAAAAAAGAAATCAGTTAAAAATAAATTAAATATTCTAATTATTATACTAGAGATTTGCTAGGAGATGTTACAGGCATATAGCAAGAATAGGATGTAAGAAAAAGGAAAGTGAAATAGCAAGAAAGAACACTTAAAAAATTAGTATAAGACTATTGAAAACAAATTAGGGAGAAGAAAAATATCAAAGAAATAATAGGAACATCCCACAGCTGGAGAGCGGAAATATGTATTCAGATCGAAAGGACTCAGGAAATAGCCAGCCCAAGTGCAATAAACACCCATTTCTAAACCTAATATGGAGAGATTTGAGAACACCAAGGTTAAAGAGGTGATCCTAGAAGTTTTCAGAGGGAAGAAACAGCAGTACTGACTAGCTAGCTTGCAAGGAGCATCACTTCAAAATTCTGATGAAAACTGACCCTAAAGTTAAAAGTCTTTACCTAGCCAAATTATTAATCATGTATGATGATAGAATAAAAGTATTTCCAATATCTAAGGACTCAGAAAATTTATCTCCCATGCATCCTTCTTTACAAGGTTCCTTAGGATGAGTCAGAGAAAACAAGAAAGTAACCAAGAAGGAGAAAGGCATAGGATGTAGGAAACAGTCTAACCTGGGACAGTAACGAAGGGAAGACGTAAGATGACTGCTGTGCAGCAAGATCAGTCCCGAAGTAGGTCCAGAATTAAATACATAGTTAAAAGAAGACATATGTGGGGAATATTCCATAGATTTGGTAGTATCCTTGGAAGTGAAGAACAAACTTAAGGACTGGCTAAAGAAAAAGGCAATTAGAGATTCGAAGGGGAGGGCCCTGCACACCACAGGCACAGGTGATCTTGTAATCAGTGGTGGACCGTATTTGCATAGTTAGGATGATGTAAAGCAACCCTTGTTGATTTTTTCGACTTCTAAAATCTAAACAAAGGGAAAGCATAGAAAACTTAACTGTGGTTATGGAACAGAAGGCAAGTTTTCATTTTGCCAACATGAACGTAAAAACAAAGCTTTCAAATTAAGAGACTGAAAGAGGCGAGGACGTGAGGGCCTCCCCTGCAAGGTAGGGGGTCACGGCAGACTGTCTGTCACTGCTGGAACAGAGATCAAGGGAAAGTATATATTCCTGGGGGTACAAAAGTGTCCAAAAGAGGAACAAAGAGTAGTGAAATAATTACTGTGGCGGGAGAGAGAGGGGAAGTCTAAGCCAGCTGAATCCTCTTTACCACGGCAGGAAGTCAACAGGCCATGTTTCAATCAGATAATCCGGAAATCATGGCTAATCAAGTCAGAGTTTTTTAACAACCTAAAAATAGAAAAATATAATCATATTAAATAGTATCTCTTTTTACAGAATAATTTCTGCAGTCTAGTCACATATCAAAGAAACGTATGAAGCGATGTTTACAATAATATTCATCAATGTTTCCAAATGGTGTGATTTGAGGAAACCTTTTACACTGTTCTTTGTACCTTTCTGTATTCCTCGGATAGTTTATGTCTTTATATCACTTTATAACAAGGACGTCTTTAGTGTGTAGTCTGAATGCTGGGAGGGTAATTGGCTATCAGGGATAAAAGTGGAAGCAGGAGGCCACTAAACTTGCAAAAAACCCAAGTGGAAAGATAGAGTGGTGTGGACCAGGATGTGTACACTGGAAATGAAGAGAGGAGGGCTGATTCACGACATAATTTGGAGGGAGAGAAAACAGGACTTGTCGGCTTGAACATTGGTGGTGAACGGAAGGATCCAGGGTGATGCTGAGGTTTCTCACTCGCACAGCTGGGAGCATGGAGGCCTAGAGAGGTGGAATGGAATGTGCCATTTCCAGGTCGAGGCGTAGAGGCAGGGTAGGGAGTTTGGCTTGTACAGCCTAAATCTGAATATCTGAGAAACATACAATAACTGCGTAGTCAGTTGCTTACTCAAGTTGGAGCTCAGATAAGTCCACGCTGGGTGTATAAATTTGGGATTTGTCAGAAAATAGACTATGACAGCATTGGGTGAAAGCCCAAAATAATCTCAAGTCAATACTCACCAACTAGTTACTTTAGTTATTAGATCAGTAATCTTAATTGATTTTGTTTAATTATGTTCATTTTTCAGTAGCCTGAATTCTGTTTCATGCATTTCCCTGAGTAAAAGAGTCGTAATATTTGGTCAGATATACAGGGACTCATAGAATGTGGGAACTTAAAGAAATCTTAGATTTTATATACTCTAATCCTCATTACACAGATAAGAAAACTGAGGCTGAGTTTAAGTAATTTTCCTGAAATGAAAGAACTAGTTGGTGACAGAAGTAGAAATAAAACATAAGTTTTCAGATTCTCAATCTAATGGTATGAAGGCTCTCATACAAACACCCTCTGCGTGAAAACAAAATCAAATGGGCTGGTTTATTAGACTCTACTGAAGTCAAGTTAAAAAATGGATCTTCATCAGTTTCTTCAGGTTGTGATGGGAGAATGCACTGCAGTATGGCATGTGTTGTACTTTGGAAGACTTGTGCGTAAATAATTTTTAAAATCACAGGTAAAGAAGAAAACCATATTGAGTATATTTTGAAAGATAATCTTTTCTATGTTACCAAATAATTCATCTTTTTTGTTGGCAATTATGATTTCTGAGATACGTATCTTTTTGTCTCCCCTGATTCCAAAGTCTTCCTAAATGTCTATATACAAATATTTTCAGGAAGAGGGGGAAATTATTCCCCACTTTCATTTTTGTTCTGTGATTAATTTTTTTCAAATTATGTCCAAATGATTCTACTTGTTTTTCACTCTCCAACAGACAGCCACCTGCCACCTCCTTCATAAAGGAAATATCGCATCAGAGTTTCTACTCTACATAAATATCTTCTTCCCTAGGGGAAGTGAAAATGCACGGAGTGGTATTTACCCTTACTTTTTACAAGTATTTCTGTTGGATTTTGTAGTGTTATACTAATATAGTTTTGCTTTTGTGGATATTATATTTAATCCCTCCCATTTTCCTTTGAGATTATAATTAGTCCCTTCCACCTAATAAATTTTCAGTTGAATACTAAACCTTTATTACTTTCGAAAATGTTTTTTGAAATATTTTTCTCTACAATTATGAGGCACACAAGTGATTCTGTAATTAAAAGTTTTTGAACAATATTGTTAGGCCATATAATCACCAGGTACCCAAAAAAGCTTCTAATTTTATTCATCCCTACCTCTCTTCATGTGGGCACACTTGGAGAAGCACTAATAGAAAGTAAACATACTTTTTCCTCCTCCTCTTACTCAGATGTGTGTGGCGTGGGGTGGATGGAGAGGGCCACGAAGCGTGGTCCCTGTATTCCTGGCTCTCCAGCAGATTCTGCTGAAGACTTGAAAAAAGAAGGCTTTGTATGTAAGAACCAGAAGAGACTTAGCATGAAACTAATGAAGATCAATCCCTAGTAGTATGGTCACATGGTTATATTATTTAGAAAATTTTGCAAGGTAATATATTTTTATTGCAATCGGTTAAAACTATTGTCATTTTCTGCTGCAGCTTCTCCTCCATCATACTTCCCCTCCTGGCAGGAGGTCCTGGAGCAGCTGTGCATTCTTACGTTGAGGGGAATATGTGTACGTGGTTCACAGTCCATTTCGTGCGTAGGCACATCACTGCCAGCTACCCTGCATAGGATGTGCTTCCAGAAAAAACTCCTCCCATTTCCTGCCACAGTTCACCCAGCATGTTACACAAAGGTGCCACTACTCCTAGTCCCAGAATCTGTGGGTACTGAGGGAGGAATGAAGGTTGAAATATCTGGAAACTAAGTTAGTCTGTGGAAGATTCTTCCAATAATCAGTTGCACATAATGTGAGTGAGGTTTGGTTTTTATTAGCTCTCAATCAAAACAGCAGTCCCCTCCTATCTAAAGTCTGCTCAACAATGACCTGAGGTCTTACAAGTCATACATGAAAGAAACTTGGTAGAGATTTTTCCAAATTTGAAACCAATCCTAAAATTTCATGACATTACCAATAACAAGTTGTGGTAGCAGAAAGTTTCTGAAAAATTGAATTCTATAAATTCTGATCAGTGGTTGATGAAGGACTGAGTGACCTTCCTATTTTCTTTATAAAAATACTACAGAATTGACATTCCACGAAAAGGTGATCAAGAGATTACAGACAAAAAATAAAATATGTATTATGCAGTTGATTAATATAAAAGATATATTATTTTTCAGGATTTTTCTGTTTGTGGTATTAGCTCTTAAATGTTATACTTAGATGTGACTCCTTTCTCATTCTAAAGAAACGTTCATATTTGTACCTGACTTTCCATTCATAACTTTTTACTATTTTTCTTAAAATGAGTCATGAAAGTTATATAACCTTCAGGCTCCAGAAACCCAGGGTCCCTTGGTGACTACACAGCTCCACTAGCTTTGACAGACATTCTAATTTGCGCTAGGCCCAATCCTGGACAAAAAGACAAGAATCAGAAGGGAGACGAGGGGAGATTCCCCCCTCCTCCACCATGCTTTGTGACTGTATGTCATCTACAGAAATGGAAGTTCTGAGCTTTAACAGAATAAAAACATTGTTCCAAGGTAATGATGCTTTGAATTTTGTCTCATTTCTCTCAAGGAAGGCGATCAGAATTGATTCTCAGAAGATTGGTGAAGGAAAAAGCTTTGAAGGGTGATCTCTCTGGGCCAGGCTAGTGGCCACTATTTGGAAAACAATGGCTCTCTTCTCCCCGGCAGGTGAGTTGGCCCCGGTCATGAGTTACATAGGCTTAGGTGGGCTTTGATACCTTAAGTCGTATATTTGCCATTTGGAGAAGTGGTGAGTGCATTTAAGGAAAAACCCTAAAAAAATATGTTTAGGGAAATAAACTGTTCAGGGATCACAAATTGCCATGGAGCAGCTCATGATTTTTTGAAGTGCAAACTACTAATCTAGTCACCTTTAATGGAAACCAAATGGTAAGAAATAATGTGAGTCAAAGAGGCAAGGTTATTTCCGTCAATGGTGGCCTTACAAGCAAGAGTCTTCAAATACAGATATTTTATTTTAAGGCACACTGAGAAGAGCTGGACCCACTCAAAAGTATGTTCCTAATCTAAGAGCCCTTTATTATCTTTTCCACAGTTTTCATGAAAATGTAAAACTTTAAGGAGGTATGACAAGAAATAAAGCCTCTGTGACTTTAGGGAAATTCTACCACATAATTTTTCTCCTCATCTAGAACTGGGCATTTGAGGTCAAAGAGGGTGTTGCCGTGGATGAAGGGGGAGGTGAAGGGTTGAGAAAAGGAAACAGAAAAATGAGAATATAAATTTCCACTCCTGTAATTTGAGATGGAGTCAATCTGATTGCTGTCTCTAAGGGAAAGTTGCCATAAACTACTTGAAAACAATCTGAAATTGTCTTAGGATGCTCAACAGAGGAGAAACACACTCAGAAAAAAATATTATTTTTGCAGTCTGATTTGTTTTGCTTCGATTTTTTATTTTAAAAAAAGTCAAAACAGTAAAAAATGTTTAAAGCATAGTACAATAAATATCCACGCACTCTTCTCCTAGACTCACCCATTCACTTTCATTTTTCCTCCGTATTTCCTTCCCTCCCTCCCCCCACTCCAAGGCCTGCAGAACCGTTTGAGAACAAGTTACTGACATCATGGCGCTTCAGCACTGAGCACTTTAGCACGTGTCACAAGGACATCGTCCTTCATAATCACAGCGTCTTCCCACCACAATACCATTAGATTATCACTCACAAGGACGTTCACACTGACACAGTAATACCATCAAGTTTGAAATCTGTATTCAAATGCCTTCAGTTATTCAAGAATGTCTCTTATATCCCTCTTATTTTTCCAGGATCTAATCAAGAATCACTCATTGCAGTAGTGTTCATTTCTCCTTAATTTCCTTTAATCTAGAATATTCCCCCTCGCCATTTTTTTGCCTTCTATGCCACTGACTTTTTTTTTTTTAACAGTTCAGGCCAATTGTCTTATATAGTGTTACAAATTTTAATTAGATTGTTTCTTTATGATTAAGTTAGTGTTAAACATTTTGGGCAAGAATACTACATAGGTGTACTTGCACTGCTTCACGTCGGGAGGTATAGATGCTGGTTTGTTCCCTTATTGGTAATGCTAACATTGATCACATGGTTATGGTGCTGTTCCCCAGATCTCACATTGTAAAGGAACCTTTTATATTTTGAAATTAATATGGAATCTGTGGGACAATACTTTGGGGGGGGGGGTCTCTGTGAATATTCTATGCCCAACAACTTTTCACTCAATAGTTTTTTCATCCATTGATTATTTTTGCCTGAATAAATTATTGGTGTTTGAAAAATGGAAATTTCTAATGCTATTATTATTTCTACATTCATTAGCTGGCATTCTTTTATAAAGAAGTACTTTTCATACCTTTCTGCCTTTTTATGAGTATCACTGTGGTTTTATGGGTTCTTCTTTTGTTCACTATGTTGTAAGTCATTATTTACATTATTCTTTTTGATGCTCAAATTGTCACAAACATGGCAAGTGGGGATTCTGTTAAGACAGCTCTTGGATCCTTTTGATGCGTCCCCATACTTCTGACAAACAAATGTCCCAGGCTCGCCTTCCACTTTCCTGATCCCTTCTCAGAACCAGACATTTCTGCAAGGAACCTCCCCCATTCCTTTTAGCGGGGAATGTCTTTAGAAACTGAGATGAGCATGGCGATGTGTTGATTGCTGGTGAGATGTCGTTCTAAACCCAGTCAGTGAACAAAGCTAAGAAATATGCATATATTTAAATCAGGAGTTTACACTGATAGCTGTAAACTATTTTAATAAATAAATTTCAAATCACTTTCACTCATTCCCAGTTGGTATCTGCTTTCTCTCACAGTGCAAACGTTGGTTCCCAACAACACCAATATATTCACTAATTTTCTCTTTTCTATGACAGATACAAAATAGGTTCAGTATTACTGCATCAATACCATACCAACAACAAAACCAATAATAAAGTTCAAAATTTCTTTGCAGTTTTTCTTGTACTTAAAAAAAACCTATTAATGATATACTGTCAGGGGTCTATGTTCAAAATTTACCTGAATGAATTTCTTTTTTCTGTATGATTATATCATCAATTTGATATACAGTTAGATTCATTTATTTCCTTTGGTATCCACTTGTGTTATTTTTTTCATTCTTTTTAATTTAATTTTATTTCTGAACATGCAAACCATTTATATTCTTCAAAAGTTAAAACTATATACTCCTACGAGGCTCACACCAAGCACTCTCCCTGCCACTTCTCCATTCCCGCCAACCTGCTATGGGTAAAAATTTTTAGTAGTTTTTGGTTTATCCTTCCTGTATTTCTATTTTGCAATACATGCACACACACACACCACACCCTATCTATATCTATATAAAAATATATGTATGTAGTCTCATTTCTCTTTCTTAAACAAAAGATAGTATACCATAGGTACTGGAAATCACTTCCTATCAATTCATAGAGCTCTAGCTCCATCTTTTTCTACAGTGAATAGTATTCCATGTGTGAATGCATCATAATTTACTCCACCAGTTTCCTGTGGTTGGGCATTTGGGTTGTTTCTAGTAGTTTTCTATTAAAAATAATGTTTCAATGAATAACCTTGTGCGTATTTTGGTCTTTTTCTCACACTTGTGGAAGTGTATCTTCAGTAAATCCCTTCCAGAGTGAATTGCTGTGGTGTCAAGGGTAAATGCCTGTATGATTTTGCTGGATATTACCAAACCCCTTCCGTAGAAGTTGAAGCATTTTGAATTCTTTGGGAACCTGTTTCTCGTAGCCCCGCATACAAAATATGTTACTGATATTTTAAATTTTTGTCCTTCTAACAGGTGAGAAATAGTGTCTCACTGTAGTTTCAATTTGCATTTCTCTTATTATGAGAGAAGTTATCAACCTTTTTATATATTGAGGGCATTCCGTATATCTTTTTTCCATTAACTGATTGTTTGTATCTTTTGCTCATTTTGTATTAGGTTGTGGGTCTTTTTAAAAACCTGTTTTAAGCCATGTTTATATATTAGAGATATTAGTCCTTTATTGATGGTAATATAGCAAATATTTTCTTCTTATCTGCCATTTGTCATTTGCTTTTGTTTATGGTGTTTTTGGTCATACAAGGTTTTTTTATATACTTGAATGCATCAATCTTTTTTTGTATTTGGAATTCAAGTCATAACTCACCCACAGGCTTTTTAAAAACTTCACCAGTTCTCTTCCAGTCCTTGCATGGTTTTGTATTTTACTTTATATCTCTGACCATTTTGACTTTATTCTGGTATGATGTGACGTATGGGTGGCCTTCCAGTTGTTTCAACATCGTTTATTAAGAAGCCCAGTTTGTCCTAGTGGTCTGAGATGGCACCTTTGTCATATATTAAGTTTTTGTGTGTATTTGGGTTTATTTCTGAAATTGTTGTGCTATTCCTTTTACTGATCTGTCTCTTCACTCAATGGTACTCTCTATTTTAATTATGGAAGTGTGTATGTGCTTAATAGTTGGTAAAAATAATTACTGTTCTTTTCAGAATTTTCCTGGCTTCTCTTGTATGTTTATTTTTCAATATGAACCCTAAAATCAACTTACCAGTTCTAGAAATAAAACTTAGATTTTGTTTGATCACATTTACTTTATATATTAACTTGGGGAAAATTAACTCTTTAATGTCATCACTCTATCCAAGAATGAAGAATGTCTTTCCTTTTATTAAAATCTGCTTTTGTGCCTTTTAAGTGTATTTTAAAGTTTTCCTCATAAGAGTTTGCACATTTATTTTTAGGTTTATGCTTAAGTATTTTATATTTTTTGTTGTCGTAAGTGGAGTTTTTCTTCCATTATATCTTCTATCTGGTTATTGTTTATTTATATGAGGTTATTGATTTTTGTATGTTAAAATTATATCTTGTTACATCACAGAACTTATGTATGTGTTAATTTTATTATCGATTCTCTCAGGTGTTCCAAGAATATTATTTCATCAGTTGCAAATAAAGATAGTTTTATTCCGTTATTTGTCCTAATTCTCATGCATCTACCACTTTTGTCATGTCTGAATGCACTGTCCAATACTCCCAGTTCAACCTGAAATAACAGTGAAGATAGTGGACATCTTTCCTAGGGCAGTTTTTGAGACAGGTAAATGTAGCGATGTTCCATTTTCCATAGGAGAGTGAGTGCAGTCTGCCGGAGCAAGTGTCCCCAGGCAGGAAACCTGTGTCGTTTGTGATGGTTCAAAAGATGTGTTTCTGTGGAGTTAAATTTAAGATCCAATTTTCTTTTAAGGTAGAATCAAGGGAACTTTCTGATATTACCTCAAAGAAGTCTTGGAGAAATTCTTTTGAATTACCTGTACCAAATGGCTGTCTTCCTTCTTCTGTGTTGATGAGGTCATCTAATAAAAGCCATAGAGGTCCTGGGAACAGAAATAGGATATGCCCTGTGAGAGCAAGTCCGAGGGCAAAAGCCAGATTCCAGTTACTGGTAGGATAATGGAAAACTAAATTCATCTGTGTTTTTATGATTTTAAGGTATTGGATTCACTCTCTTCTTGAATGTGTATGTGATAGGAGATTATTTGGTGTGGGAAACCTTGAAAAAGATTTTTAGTCACAGAGCAGCAGAGAATGTATCTTTTATAACATGTTCTGGCCAAATGCGTGTAATACCAAGGCCATCATTTCAATTTCGAGTTGCTGTTGCATACAAATGAACATAAATAATAACATATTGGTATCTTTTTCATCACAAGGACTCCAATATAACTACTTAATAGATTTTCTGAAAAATTTTTTTAATAAGACTTAACCCTTGGGAGTAGTTTGAAAAAAGTTGTGTTACGTCAAGGTAGCACATTCTCCAAAGTAGTAATCAAATTTATAGTAAAACAAATTGTGCTATAACAAGATATTGACACTTATACATATAAAGCAACTCAAAGAGAAGTTCTAACACTGTAATGATTCAAGGAAAACACTAGCTAAAAAATCCTAATGTTTTTCTTACTGCTATAAAGGAAAAGTATTTTTCCAGGAAATTGGTCAATAATGAACAAAGTTCTGCATGAGTTAAATATAGAAAAAATATCCTCAAATGGGAATTTTTTCATCAAAATGTCCTGAAGTCTCCATTAAATTTACCTACTTATTTTGATGGCATATAAAAGAAGTTCCATGCACAGGAGAAAGTCAATGTTTCAACAAAGAAAACACCAAAAAGAGAATAGGATAAAATAAAATAGGTTTTTTTGTTACAACTTAAAAAACCGTTAGTGGTTTAATGGTACCATTGTGTTTATATTTGCTATGTCAAAATAAATTTTTGCCCAATAATGTTTTAATTTATGAGGCAAAGGACTTCATATGTTTCTTTCATGTTAAGCTTGTATTTACCTACTTAATTGCCTCAGAACTTCACTTTCCATGTCAACACAGCTTTTAAACATTTGTTATGTGCCACGATGGTGATAGATAGAAAGTGGTCCCTGCTTTCAAGGAGCTCACAGACTACTGGCAGGGACAAATGGCAAACTAATCATTGTAACTCAGAGGTTACAAAGGAGAGCACAGTGATCTCAGAGAGGAAGGCAGGACCAATCCTGCAGGGGGACAGCAGGGGAAACTGTAGTCACAAAGACCTCATGGTGGAAGATGGGTCAGGAGAAAGCAGGAATTCGTAAAAAGTCATACGTTTCAGAATGGTGAATCTTCTAGAATGGTGGCATTTGTTTAAAGTCTCTCTTCCTGGACAGGTTTCCAGGTCTGTACAGCTAAGGATTACGTGCTTCTTGTTCTGATATCGACCCTGATATCAGTTTCCCCACATTAAACCCAGCATATATGGGGTTAAAACCAAAACACTCATTCCCTGCTTACTCTCTGGCTTCCTGGCTCCAGAATCCACTATCCTCCATGGAGACAGACACCATCAAGGACAAGCGCCTGGACTATCTCCTCCCCACAAAGAGATACAGACTGGTGGGAAAGCTGCTGACCCGCAAGGTCATGAGCTCCCTCCTCTCTGCAAGTGTCTCAAGGCCAAAGACAGGCTAGTGGGAAAGCTCTGACCAGCAAGGCCATATGCTCCCCCTCCCCTACCTAAAACCCCAAATAAAAACCCTTCCTTTTAGCTTTTCGGGGAGTTTGGGATTTGAGCGTTAGCTGCCCTCTCTCCTTGCTCAGCGCTGTGCAAAAATAAAGTTCCTACTTTCTTCCACCACACCCGGTGTCAGAGATTGGCTTGCTGCGCGACGGGTGAGCGAACTCACTTCAGGTTCAGTAACAGTTCAACGTGATATTCCTTTCCAGTGCCTAGCAGTGCCTAGCACTTTTAAGAAACTCAGTGAAAGTAGTTATATTTTTCTACCTGTTTTTATTAATATTTTATTATTAAGTTATTAATTGTAATAAGTTTTAAATTACTTTTTAATAATTAATAAAAGTTATGTTATGTAAAAGTTCTATATGATAGTAACCATGCACCCACTACCTAGATTAAGAAACAAAATATTGCCAATCCATTTACAGAACAGGCCCACTTCTCCCCCACCCATATCTACCATTTTGAATTTTTATTTAGCATTCCAGTGCATTTCTTTGTAGTTTTGTTATATTTATTTATGGAGGTGCTTAAACTTTATGTAAATATTATCATAATGTTTGTTTAACCTGTGGTTTGGCTTCTTTCCTCAACATTACGTTTATGAGATTCATCCACATTGATATTTGTGACTATAGTTAATTAACTTTGATTGCTTGATAGTCCTGTAGTCTGTTGTGTGACTATTCACTCTCTCTCTTTATCAGTTTTTCTTATGATGGACATTTGTTTCCAGTACTTTGTTCCTATAAACAATGATGCTATAAATGTTCTTGAATATGGCCGTCGTGTAGTGAGAGAGTTTTGTACATAGGTGTACGTCTAGAAGTGGATCTGCTGATCAGTGTTGCTCAGCCTCCTCACTGACTCTTGGAATTGCAGCCCTGTTTAATTTCTGGTAACTTTGTATGTTTAAATGGTGCCTCATTATTTTACGTTGAGTTTACTGAATTATTCTTGAGGTTTTGTTCTTATGTATTTATTGACCATTTAGTTTTGTCTTCTGTGAGTTACTGGTTTGTCTCTTTTGCCGATTTCATTTATACATAATCGGTCTTTTTTAATTGATTGAGTTAGCCATTTTATTGATTCAGTTATGAGTTATGTATTGTAAATATAATCTTCTTTTACTTTGGTAAAAGATACAATTGTTAAATCTAATCAATCTTTCTCCTTTTTGGTTCCTACCTTGTTGGTCTTAAGAAGTCCTTTCTACCCAGAATTCATAATGTATATATTATTGACATGGCATGATATTCCTTTCAGGTCTTTAATCCACTTGGAGTTTACTTTTTATGTGGTATTTTTTATATGAAATAGGGATCTGAAATCTGATTTTATTTTATTTTTCCAACTTGGTAATTTCCTAAATAGCCTATCCTTCGTGGAATAGTCCGTCATTTCCTCACTGATCTACAATGACATCTTTATCATATATTAAGTAAGATATATGTTTGTTTCTTCACTCTAGTCTGTTCCACTATTTTGTCTGTTCCTGCACCAATTCCATACTGTCTTAACAATTTGAGTTTCATAAAAAGTACTCCATAGAGTACTTTCTCTTTTTTCTTCCTCTTCTTTTTTAAATTGCCCAAATGCTCTTGGACTCTTTATTCTTCCATATAAATTTTTGAACTGGATTTTTATTAATAAGTTTGAATTTTTCTCTCATTTTATGCTGTGTTTCCCTGAATTTTCTACATTTTTCTTTCTTTTCTCCCTTGTTTATTATTGATTGAGGCTTTTAAAAAATTGAGTATAAATACATGGGATCCTCTTTGCTAGTAAATACAATAATTAATTTTGACTCTATCACCCTGTGAAGTAAGGATTGTTATTGTTTTAATTTTTATCACAGAATTTTCAAACATATATAAAACTGGACAGAATAATATAATTAACCCAATGTACCCATCACCCAGCTTTAATAATGACCAATACGTGGCCAATTATTCTCTCTCTAGACCGTTACTCATTTTCCCCAATCAGCACCATCTCCACCACCACCTCTCCTAGACTACTTTAAAGTGCTCTTCTCTTAGCAGAAGCACAACACCATCATTGCATCTTTGAAAATTAAAAATGAATCTTTAATATCACAAAATAGCCAGTCAATGTTCCTATTTCCCTCAAGACTTTATACATTTTTTTACTTTAAAAAAATATTCAAATAAGATCTATACCTCTTGGTTGGTATGTCTCCTAAGTCTCTTAATCTGTATGTTCTCCTTCCATCTATTTTTATTTTATTTTTTATTTATTTATCTTACTTTTATTTTTCATTCCATTTTATTGATTTTATTTTATATTTTTTATTTTATTCATTTTTAAATTTCGCTTGTCGTAACTAGTTTTCATTTAATTTAGCGTGTTAGATAAGCTGGCATCTGTCCTATGCCTTCCTATGATCTGGTTTTTGTTAGTGCCTCCACATGGTGTTGTCTGACATATTCCTCCATCTCCTTGTATTTCCTAAAAATTGTTAACTAGACTTAAAGCCTTGACCAGACTTAGGTTCAGGGTTCCTTTTGTTTTCTGTGGGTTTTTTGCCAAGGCTATCACATAGATGGTGTATTGCACTTCTACCAGGACATACAGAACATTTGGTTTCTCTCTCTTTTATGTCTTATCTGCCATTGATGATCATTACCCAGGTCCATTAATTCACTAGGAGTTTTTAAAATGGTGATGTTTGAATTTTTTAAATTTCTACATTATTTTCTGGAATAAGTCTGTAAAGAGAAACTCTCACAACAAGTATTTGCACAGGAAATCTTTTGGGAAGTATAGGATTAATTCTTGATGTTTTTGCTTTTTTTATTAGTTTCCAAGATGAGATCGTTTCTCACACATTCCAAAGGTAACCAATGAATTTATTTATTTCTATAAATCATAAATAATTAGTATCATTTTGAACTTCTAAATTTAAATGTATTTGATATGTGTTAATCCATTGCAGTTATCTTTTTAATGCATAAATTTCCCCATCTTTGGCCGGTGCAGCCTAATCAGGTTAGTTTATGAGTCCTTATTAGCAGTCTTTGGCAGCTTCCTTGCTTTCTGGTATGAAGATGTTCCAGGATCATCTTGTACATGTCCCATCCCAGGTGTGGAATCAGCCGTACTTCCAAAGGGAATTCGTTTTTTATTCCATTTATTCTCTCCTGCAGTGGAAGATAGATATATTATATTTCCATTTTTTAGTGACTTCCAAGAAAAATTTTAACATACATAATTTGCTTAAAATATATAGTCCTATCTTTGCAAATAATATAAAGATATTAGAATTCTCATCACATTGGAAATTGTACTCTAAACACTTGTGTATTAGTTTGCTAGGGCTGCTGTAACAAAGTACACAAGCTGGGTGACTTAAATCTCTCACAGTCCTAGTGGCCAGAAGTCAGAGCTCAAGGTGCCAGTAGGGTGGTTCCTTCCCTGGGCTGTGACGGAGAACCTGTGCCTGCCTCACATGCCTCAGGTGGTTTGCTGGCAATCTTTGGTGTTCTTTGTCTTGTAGAAGCATACCATGACCTCTGCCTTTATCCTCACATGGCTTTCTTGCTGTGTGTTGTTTGTGTCTACATTTCTCATTTTTATAAGGAAACCTCACTGGATTAGGGCCCATGCAGTGGCCTCAGTGTAACTTACTTACCTCAGTAAAGCCCTCTCTTCAAAGGAAGTGCCATTCTGAGAAATTTTGGGTTAGGACTCTGACATAGCTTCTTTAAGGGGATACAATTCAACACATATCAACTCCCCTCTTATCTTAAAAGTTATTTTTATACATTTATCCCAATAGAAATGTTACTACTTTTTTTTATACAGTCAATCTTAGTATATTTACCCTCATGCTTACCAATTTTTTGTATACCATTCTTTCTTGAGTTTAAGATCTTCCTTCGGGGATCGTTTTACTTCTGTCTTGAGCACATCCTTTTGAAACTCCTCTAGTGAAGTCTAAGGTGAAGTTGGTGGTTGACTCTTAATTTGTGTTTGCCTGAAAGCGTCTTTATTTTAACCTCATTCTTGAAAGACAGTTTAACTGTCTCCAATTTTAGATGAACTTTTTCTTCTCTCAGCACATTGAAGAGGTATTTCTGTTCTCTCTGGCTCCATTTTTGCTGCTGTGACGTCAATCTAATTTTTATTCATAAGTAGGTTGTCTGTTTTCACAAATTGCTTTTAATCTTCTCTTGTCATTGATGGTTTCACTTTGACTACAAGGTGACAGGATTAAGATTAGCTTCTATTTATTCTGCTTGGGATTTGTTGTTTTCCTAAATCTAAGAACTGTGTCTTTCCTCCATTATGGAAAATTCTCACTTAAAAAACTATTAATGTTTTTAAAAATATTTTCTCTCCCTCTTATCAGTACTCTGTTATTCTCGAACTCCAATTGGGTGTGCGTTAAACCTTTTCATTCTGTCTTCTGTACCTCTTAACCTGTTCTCCATATTTTTGTAATCTCTCTGTACTAAATTCGACATAGTTCTTCAGATCTATTTTCCAGTTTACTAATTTCTCTTCAGCTGTGTCTGGTCTAATGTTTAACCCATCCCCAGAGTTTTAATGTAAATAAATACATTTTATTACTATAAATTCTATTTCCAAACTTACAGAGTTGTTAAAATATTCTCTTAGTCTTAGTCCTTGGTTATCTTTACAATGTTCTTTTTTTATTTACAGAAATATTTTACGCGTGTTTATTTTATGGTCTTCTGCAATAGGTAATTTCAACATCTCATGTCCCTGTGTCAGGTCTTAGTCATGTCTATCTAATTCACTATTTGCTGTTTTTGTTGACTCTACTCCTTGTGGTTTGTTTCCTTGTGTGTGAGAGCTCGTGTTTGGCTGACCTTAATTTGAAGGAAACAAGTTGAGAATGCCTTCCTCCAAAGGAGTAGGTTACACTTCTGGTAGGTGCTCTGCCAATCTGGTGCACTACCCCCTGGGAGTACATTAAATTAAATTGTCAGCATGGGGGTTTCTTGAACTGAGCAGGTGTTGTAAATTCAAACCCTGAGCTCATGTGTAGATAGGTTTGTAATTAATTTTCCGGGGAGATATTTTCCCCTACCATAGGCCAAAGACTAAGATTTTACAAGTTTCCTTGTCAATCCTTTCGCCAAATTATGGAATTTTTTCCTAGCTCAACCTTCACTGAGGGAAAGCCCTTTGAGCATCCAGCTTTATGCATGAGTCTTAGTTATCTGCCCATTTTGCTCGACAAAAGGTCTATCTCCTGTTCCTCTGTGAGGCTGTCAAAGCCCTGGCTTCTGTTTCTAGCATGGTAGACACCTCCAGGGAGATCAGGGCTGTGGTGCCAGGTTCCCACTCCAGTTTCCGTGTTCTCTTTGTTTTGAATATATTCATCTCATAATTTCTAGGTGCTATGAGTGGGAGACTTTTCACAATATCTAGTCCAACAGTAATGGAAGTTTCTCTACATCTCTTTAAATTAAAAAGTTTCCCGACTCCATTCTAGCAAGGCAATTTTAATAAATGTTAAAACTTTAGAAGACTAAACTAAATTCTATATTTAAAAGCCTAAACATAATCTTTAAAATGAAATTTGGATTATTGTGGATTAATATCAAGAAATTACAATTAAGGAATGTCAAGATAATTAAGACTGGTACCAACATTTTACTTAATAAAGTGTCTATCTTCCTAGCCAACACTTGCACAATTTTAGAAAAATTGTATGGTTATGATTCAAATTTTGAGATTTATCTGTAGAACTGGTCAGCCAAACAGGTAATATTAATCATATAGAATTCATTCAGTGGAAGCAAAAGTAATAAAAACCTATTTATGTAACTTGATTTAACTTTCATTTCCTCATCTCTTAACTTCAATATATATAATGTTCTGAAAGTTAAGGCATCTACTAAAACTACTGTAGTTTAAACACAAATATATATTTAAATAAAGAGCCTTTTGGAATTGAGCTGAAAATATAATCTAGGTACAACTTAATCAGTTAACCGTTCTTCAACAAAATTTTGCCAAAACAAAGCCATTCTTTTATTAGAGAGCTCTACAATTTGTTTTATAACCTACCCTAATACAGAAGAAAACTTTTCTGTATCAGTCTTTCTTTTTATTTAAGATAATTTAATCATTTTCAAGTTCAGTGGATGATCACAATGTATTATAAATTTTCTTCATTATAAAAATGCTATCTAGATTCCTCATGTTTAGTTAACTTCATATACTTCAAATTAAGCAGGCAATAATCACCAAGGGGTATGCAATCTCTAATAACTAAGAAGTCTTCTTAAGCTTTTTCCTGTTGGCAGTAGCACAGTGTTTACCTTGGCAATGAAGAAATAGTGAAAGGAAGAGAAGCCAAAATGACATAAAGCACCAGGTAGCATTTTTAATATCCTTGGCAAAAATTCCTGGCAGTAGCAGCATATAAGCTAGCATCCAAAAAAGTGTATTAGCTCTGGTTTTATACAGACTCCTGCATGGAAGGGGGAAAGGCAAGTGTGTGGTTGGCAGCTTAAGAAGTGCTGAGCTGTGGGTCAGATTTTGCCCCACCACATAAATAACAAAACTCCATCAAACCAGCTTACTATTGCATGCTCAGCGGTGGCCTTCATCAGAGTGGTCCCACTGGATTGGTACAAACAGATGAAGAATTATCTTTAGTTATTTATTTTTTTTGCAGAGAAGGATTTGCCCTGAGCTAACATCTGTTGCCAATCCTTCCTCCTTTTTTTTTCTTCTCCCCAAAGCCCCAAGCATGGTTGTATATCATAGTTGTAAGTCCTTCTTGTTCTTCTATGTGAGCCACCACCACAACATGGCTATGGACAGATGGCTGCTGTGGTTCTGCAACCAGGAAGTGAGCCTAGGCCACTGAAGCCGAGCACACAGAACTTTAACCACGAGGCCAGCAGGGCTGGCTAAAGAATTATCTTTTAAATATAAATCAGATTATCCAGTGCCCTGCTTAAAATACTTGAAGCAATTATATTGCTTTCAGAATAAAATCCAAACTTCTTATCAAGGCCCATTAGACCCAGGGTTTGGCCCCTACTTTTCTCTCCAACATCACTACACAATACTTTCCTTCTCTCTCACTATGTTCAGGCCACACTGACCTCCTTTCTACTCCTGGAATATGCCAAGTCCTTTCCCACACCAAGGTAATTCTGTGGGGAAAAAATAACCTTAAATTTTGCAGCAACAGCTGGATATCTGTATAAAAAAATTAACCTCTGTCCGCAATCACACCATATATAAAAATGAACTCAAAATTGGGATCATAGACCTAATCATAAGAAGTAAAACTGTAAAACACCTAGAAGAAAACAGAATATCTTTGTGACCTGGGTCAAAAATTTCTTAAATAGAACACAGTAAACATATAAAAGAAAAAGCTGATAAAATGTATTTCATCAAAATTTAAAACTTTTATTCTTAGAAAGACACAGTTGAGGGAAACAAAAAAAGGTAAGCCTAGACTAAGAAAGAATATTTCCAAAATACCTGTGACAAAGGCTTGTATCCAAAATATAAAAAGAACTCTTTGAACTCAATAAGAAGACAAATGGCCCATTAATAGGAAAACAAAAAAGATTTGAACAGACACTTTACAAAAGAAGATAAACAAATGGTGAATAAGAACATGAAAAGATTCTCAACATCACAAGACATCAGGGAAGTGAAATAAACCATGATGAGGTAATACTACACACCTCTAAAATAGCTTTAATTTAAAATGTTGACAATACCAAGTGTTATGATGTGGTACCATGTCAACTCTCATCCATTGCTGGTCAAGTGCAAAATGGCACAGCCACTTTGAAGTTAGTATAGCAATATCTTACAAGGTTAAACATAAGT